GTTCCAGACTTCAGTTGTCTTCTGCCAAAGCCCAGTCTCTGGCGCATGATGGGGAACATTCGAAGCACATCTGACACATCTGCCTTTGCCACCCGAAAGGAACAGCGGTTATGGAAAATGAAGTTAGAATTCGAATTTTCAAAGTCAATGGCCCACGCCTGATCATAATCGGTAGTGGATCGAATTCAAAGTCGAAAAGCTCTGTGTTCGAGCTCCTGACGGATCATTCGCTTTTCATCTTTTTGAGGTAGGTAAATGGATAACCATTTGCAGGAAAAAATATCAGGCAATGCGCCATTACCACATAGCAAAAGACACTGCATTTAAAATACGGTACTGGTGGCGGAAGGCATTGAAGGGGAGATCGACATCACGCTATCAGCTTCAGACAAAGAACGGCGTTACAAATAGCGATCATCGTGGTAGCAGGAAGGAGACGGAATTCGGTCACTGACCTTTCATTTTGCCTTTGGTCATAAACATAAGGATAAAGATTATAATAACTGTACTAATTCGATAGCACGGTAACAAGATCAAACTACCAAATAGCAGATTTGTTGGACGAATCACACGGACTACGGCAATGGGAAGAATCGATGTCTTAGTTATATTGATCGTCTGGCATTGTCCTTTTTTGTATCCTACTCGCAAAGGTTGCATGATTTATTGAAGAGCAAGACTTGGGGAGGAGAACATTCTGAAATTGCCATCCTGGAAACAGGAAAGGAACAGCGGATGGACGGGACGGTTTTTCCAAATTCAATGGCCATGGGTGAAAAATGAACAGAGTGGGATTAATTGCAAATCGAGTTTCCGGCAACGCCGGCATTGTCGATCACCAGGAATGGCAGCTGTTTTCCGAGATCTGTTCGTATCGCTGAGGCCAAACGGTGGAATGCAAGTTAATTTGTTAATGGTAAAATGAGGGAAATTAATTGAACCGCTGTTGATCGCCCAGAATCGAAGTGGCAGCACTGCTGAACTCAGGTACAATGCCGTGACTATCGATCGATTTTGCAGCCGGCAAACTTCGCTGGTGAACTTCGCTGAAAGTGACTCCTAGCTGGGGTTGTGAATACAGATGAACGAAACCGAAACCGAAACCGAAAGAGCGCAATGTCGCATTTCACTTATCCAGCTTTTTGTGGCGATATGATTATGCGCGAGGCAGTTTAAAAGATTGGATTGGTTCACACTTTGGGCCAGTTATCGCACTGGATAATGAGAGGTCAGGTGAATCGAAGCATATCAGACATATCTGCGATATTTCTTGTCCATTTTCATGTAACCGCACTGGAACATCATGCCGTCCCAGTTGTTCACAAGACAACGACTGGATACCCGTTTCTCCGTTGGTTGCACCAATTCAAAAAGGGTTAATTTCTTGTTGATGAATATTATCAGTTAATAGAATTTTTGGTATGCCAACCCGGTAATTCAGAAGCTCAATGCTTACCACTTACCATTGCGCCACCCTTTTCTACCCTATTACTCATTAATTCCTTCAAAATGCAATGCTGTCTTATGATGCAGTTGCACTCTGCTCATTGTAAAGTTTGGTTTAACAATCTGCTGATTTTCGTGAACGTTTCCATTGTAGTTATGCATTTTCCTAAATTATGGAGGCAAACTCTCGTTGAACTCATTAGCAATTATATGCATTTGCTCTCTTGGGACAACTGCTTTAATTGATGGCCTAAAGCGCGAAGTTGAAACGACGACTTAATTTATTAGCAAATATCTTCGTATTAAAACATGTCCTAATTGTCGAAAGCGTCGATTTTTCGTATCCTTGTGTGAGGCTGAACGAACCAAGCATGGTCAGGCTACTTCTGTCAAATCTTCCGCCTTTCTCTTTGACTCATATAATTGAGTACCGCTTCTGAGAAGGAAAGAAGAGGCTACTAGCCATGCTTTACACAGAGCTGCCGATTCCAACTTTAAGAAAAGATGAGGAAGTCCTGGCTGATGGCATAAAAACGACGATCAGCACTGGAAGAGCGCCACAAATGCAAATGCAAAGGAGACCGACACTCCATCCACCACGTCCTGCCCCTCCCTCGGTTACAGACCATGAAGTTAAGGCGTAGAAACGCATTTAACAAAAATAGGAACCTCTGTAGTAGAACAAGAATGAAATTAGATGCAAGGAGAGTAACGGCAATCGCATATGTTCATTTCCGCAGCTAAGAGCCTGTTTTGAAATCCGGTTTCTCTTCTGCGTCCACGAGGGTTGCCAAAGAACCATTTTCGGGATAACATGATTGATTACCAATCACATGAATGTTTTATTCATCGATTCTCTGTAAAGGTTGATTGGCACATATAGGCAAATGAAGCGGTCTCTTGCACCTGCATTCTTCAATTACATTGTGATGGATTAGAAATAGGTGACAAATTCGAAAATTAGATTGATTTTTGTTGTCACGAACAGTGTCACCGACTGAAGACATCATTCATTAAATCGTTGTTGAGAAGTGCTCATTAGAAGCAACAGTCAATAATCATTTTAAGCGACGATAAGCAGAAGAGCTTTGGCCAGTCGACGACTAATCTCATCATTCCACATAATTATTAAATCATGTGACTAGTACATAATCAGGAAAGTGAGGAATGGACAAGAGTGAGGTTAAGATGCTAGGCAGACGGAATCTATTTTCTGGTGTGATACAGTTTGGGGAAGAAGACCGCTATTGAAATAACATCCTGAAATAATTAATTAGTGAACTGGTTTTAAATTAACCTTAGTAGGCAGAGAGGTTATTTCGTTTTCAACGCAGACTAGCAGAGCTTCACCCTCCGTCAAACTTCAAATGGAACATCATCACTGTCGCTGAATTTTCGTAACAGGCTAGCATCACTTCTACCCGTACTGAGAATTCTGACAGGTCAGATCAATTTATAGAAAACGGCAAACACCTGGATCAACTAGTACGGTGGTTTATCCATTCCATAGCCTTTGGTGCTCCGAGAGGTCCGTTGGTCACCGTTGGCTTTAAATACTCTTCATGGGCTCTGCCCACCAAGTTGACGCAGTGGATGGAAGTCTTCTTCTATATAACGATCGGTGATCACGGGATGAATGGTATTACTTGAGGCTAGTACTTAACGGGAGGAGCGGAAGAGGCTACTTTCGCCTAATCCGATGCATTGAGGTAGGTTAAGTTCATAAGCGGTTAGTCAGTTTCGATGGCTGTTTATCATTTCGGATCACGGTGTCAGCAGCACCAGACAGCGTTTCCAGCATTTTTAATTCTATTCCGACCCCTGAGCTTTGGAAGACGCTTAATGGCAGATGTCTAAGATGCCTGTCAGCAACGGAATCACAGTCCGTTCTGAAGGGTAGGGCAGACAACGCGATGTCGTTATAGCACGTGAGATAAG